TAGCCTCTGAGCTCTTGCAGCAGTGAGGAGTTTTTTGTTTTTGAGTGCTGCAGAGTAAAACTCTGAGCAAGACAATTCATAATTGAGGCTGACAATGAGTTCAACTTTAATTAATTCAGTGAAACATTTGTTCCTCAAATCAGTTTGTTCTTCATTAAGGAGAAAATCTTCTCCACAAAACCAGTGGAAGATGGGATGCCAAGGACAAAGGACACAGCAGCTTGGATGTTGGGAGGATCAGCTACCTGATTAACCTCCATCCATTGGCCTGCCAGGATTCCTTTTCCTGCCGCATCAGCATTTAAATTACTCCGTTCGTCCCCCATACTGCGCTGTTCTCTCTGGCTATCTTCTCAGTGAGCAACACTCGGCTCGACCAATGGGATGAGGGTAATCTGGATCGTTACGTATATGTTGTCAGCTCATTGGTCACAACGCAGGATAGGGCCCGGTAACAAGTTTACCATAAGTTTTGTATCCAACGTGCTCTTGTTGTTCATTTTCCATTAGCTTTTTACTTTTTACTCTCACAGTAAAACGGGACAAAGTGCCTTCTTATTCCACTAAATACGGAACAGATACTTCCATTTCTAAATACGGAACGATTACATTTTTCAAGGGACGGTTGGCAACCCTAGTTGGAACAAATGTGACGTGCTTATGATCTTTTGATTACTGAATTAGAGCTAATACGGTTAGCAGAAGCTAACCTGAAACTAAAATCAAATTGGAAGATTATGAACAACAGTTTAAAGTAAACTTTCAGTTATAACAAATTGTTCTAATATATCAGAGAAAATGTTTTGATCCCAATGCTAATCATAAACACCCTCAGTTAGAAACTGGAGCTCTTTGTAGCATTGCTCTCTATCTGGGTTAGGAAACCCTGGTGTTCAAGGTGACATCTATGTGACAATATTTTACTCAAATGTATCAAAACTAAACAGCTTACAGTGGTTTTACTGTATTTTATTGTATTACCATAAAAAATAAACACTTCTCAAATAAAGTCTATTGTTAGAACCAAACATGGATCAATTTAAAGGGGTCAGATTACATATATACCAACAACCATATTTTGATGTTAAAATAAAGCGATATAAGCCAAGCATTTGTCCTTATAGTGTTTACTTAGTCCTTACTGAGCCTGAAAAGAAGTTTACACCGGGTGTGATCAGCAAAAAAAAAAAAAAAAATTCAATTTTCAATCACTGCCATAGCTGGCAGTACTTTTTCATGCATTATATCAGTCAGATTCTGAGGATTATTAAATCCAATGCTTATATTGTATTCTGAGCGGCCATGCCTTAACCCTCTTAAAAACCTGATTGTTTTTAGACTTTTCTCATAGTTCATCTTGAGCAATATTTTACCTCTGGCCACATGATCCTGTTATGGCAAATATTAAGGGAACAACAACAAAAAGTAAAACAAAATAAAGAAATATAATACACCTTCTAATTTTAATCAAAAAGCCTTGAGTCACTGCAAATCGTTTGGCTCTTACCTAGACGGAAAGATTTAGACAGAGGTATTAGATCATTTATCTTCTTTTAATAGTTACTGTCTTTTTCTAAGTGCAAATTCAAGTGAAATTATACAACTGCTGGGACACATAATTTCACCTGTTTTTAGTACCTTATCCGTCAGATGTTGTATTTTTTACTTGTTTTTAAACTCTCTTTTGCAATGTATGCAACCAGACTGAGCTACAAGCATAGAAACTCATTAAGTCGTCATACAAAAGAGGGCTCCTTTAAGCCGTCTGTAACAAACAAGCTCCTTTAAAGCGTTTAACTTCTTTCTCTTCTTCATACACAGCACTGAGTTCTTTTTAACCTCACAGCTGTCCAAATCCCGAGCAGCTGATTTACGGCTGCCTCCTTAATGGAGGCTTGAAGTAAAACCACATATCCGACTTGGTCGTCCTCGTCATAAATGACTTCCACTTGGCTCGGTGCATTCACCACTTTACTCCCCCACAGGATGTAATTGCAGGAAACAAGTTACAATTAGATACAGAGCAACACACTACTCCTGAGTGAACAAACCGACATCACTGTAAATGTCAGGATTTGTTCTAAAACCTGGATAAGAAGAGAACCATTCGAGCCCATGAAATCAGAGAGACTCTCGGAGCACTGCTATGCTCACCAAATGTTGCATTTCCTTTTATTTAAAGCAATGGATTATCAGTTTAATCTAATCCATCCGTTCTAACTATATGATGGAGGTAAAAACAGACAATATTGGCTCAGTTTTAATGGAACTGATACCAAATTTGAAAAAAAAAAAGAAGACAATTGGCCAATGCTAACAATAATTCCAATTAGTCAGACTCATAACCCAACTCTAAAGCTAACTGGAGTTACTAAAAAATAATAGACCGATACCAAATCCTTAGACTGACCTTGTATCAGTGTTGTATCGATGCAGCATAGTTCATCCCAAGGCTGGGCAATTAATAGCAATTACAATAGAGTCACCATTATACAAAATCCTGTTCATCTTCAAATTACAGAGGCACCACATTTTTGTCATGTCATGTTCCATATTTGCTGCATGTAAAGAACATGTTTAGCAAATGGTAATAAAAAATAAAAAACATTTTTTTTTCCATTTGAAAAAAATTCAATC